TATCTTTATAATGTTGTTCATATTGTAAAATATAAATTAGTGAATAAGATGAAATGCTCCACTATGAAGTTCTAACATTTTTTAATTAATCCCAATATCTAGAATCATATTAAATTTTAAATAATTTAAAATTAAATTACATCAAATTATATTAAAAAAAACTTTTTCAATATTTATTCCTCTATTAATTAAATTTGAATTTAAAATTTTCATTAAAAAAATTAAACTTATTTCACTCAAATCCATAAATCAATGGTAAAATCTAATAATTCTGTTAGGTACAATTCAGATTATATGACTTTCACAACAATTTTTCCTAATTATTAATTACTTTTATTAAAAAAATTTATTGTTTAATTCAAAACCAAACAGAATTGTGAAGTTTTTTTTTTTTTTTCGTTCGGTATCTGGGATTTCGCTTTCACTAATTTAAATCGACTTGCATCGCGTACCTGAAAATGGTGGGTGAGTCTCCCAACAAGGGTTACTGTGTATCTGGGATTTCGTTTTCACTAATTTAAATCGACTTGCATCGCGTACTTGAAAATGGTGGGTAAGTCTCCCAACAAAGGCTACTGTATACATAAGATCTCAAACTCAAAATCTTATTTAAACTAAAACAAATCATTTACCACTTGATTCAACCCCTCGTTGGTTGGTTAGTTGGTTAGTTGAAGTATTATTGTTATTATTATTATTTTTATTATTTTTTTCATTTTTCGATTTTCACAACCAAAGTACCAAACAGGGCCTAACACGCTATTTTAATTTTTGTCATTTGTATCTTCTTCCTCATTTCCATCTCATTCCGTTCCGTGCATTCCCGGTTTCCAATTTGATCAATTAGGTTTTCTGGGTACTATGAAATTCGTCGCATTTTCACTAGATCGACATCATCGGAATTGCTTTCTCGTTCTTATTTTCTGTTATTTTATTTAATGATAAGAAAATAGGTAGACGAACAGTTTCAGATTGGTGCTTGCATCTCTCGTAAGCTGTAGATGATAAAGAAGCTCACTTTGTGGAGTGGGTTGGTTCCGTTGGCTTTTGACTTATTATGTAAGCTTTGCAGACCTCACCTTAAATATTCCCAATTGCCCTGCATTTTTTATTCTTTAATCTGTCGCTGCTTCTTGTTCCTTAATCATTATGTTGCTGATTTGATGATTGCTGATGTGGGTTTTGAATTCAAACTTTGTGTTATGCAATTTCATAGCTTTTGTTGAGTTTTATTAACATTGGAAATCTTAGTAGTAATTGAAAAACAAACGTTGAAGACTTAGAAGGTCTAGTAAACGACTTAATTTAACATTTTTTTCTAATATATGTGGATTGGAAATGCAAATTTGGCTACTTTTTTAATTTTAGCTTATGCTAAATGGGCATTTTGATCACCTCTTAAAACTTTAACCCATTACCACTAGAATTATGAAAAAGGAAATATGAGAAAGAATATAGTCTTCATTGTTGTGGGTTCCTTTTTTCATTTTTTATGGTCAAATTCATTTCAGGGAATCTATGCAACAAGATATCATTCCAGGATTACCAGATGATTTGGCTTTGAGATGTCTAGCCAAGGTTTCACATGGTTACCATGGACTGCTTGAAACTGTCTCGAAGAGGTGGAGAGATTTGTTCCGCAGCTGTGAGTATGGTAATTATAAAGCAGGACAAGGATGGTGTGGAAATTGGCTGTTTGTTCTCGCTGAACGTTCTAACAACCAGTGGATTGCTTATGATCCTGATGCTGATAGATGGCATCCCCTGCCAAAGATTCCAACGGTCCAAGATGGCTGGCAGCATTTTGGCTTTTCATGTGTTTGTGTATATAATTGGTTGCTTGTAATTGGGGGCTCCTTTGCACCAACTGGTTCGGCATTTTCCCGTCAATCACCTGTGATAACCAATGATGTTATGCTGTTTGACCCATGTAGGAAACAATGGACCAGGGTAGCTAGCATGAGGACACCACGATCTCAGTTTGCATGCAGTGTTATCTCTGGTAAGGTTTACGTTGCTGGAGGGTGCAACTTATCTCACAGGAAAGGGCTTGCTCTTGCCGAGGTTTATGATCCAATGACAGACAGGTACGCTCCATTTGATCCATATGGGCACCTTTTGATTTTCTTGAACACCTGAGGGAGCATTTTCTTTATGCTACTCTCTTGTTTACTACTATAGTTGTGCTGTCTTCTTTTTGCTATTCTCTTGTTTACTAGGAATTAATTCAATGGTTAGATTGTTACCCCTTTTGGACTTTTATCTAATGCATCATGACATGTAGTGGGTGGTTAACTATACTCAGTTAGGATGACTGCCTTAATTATTTTTGCCTTTTATTGGAGAATTGTTTATCTCAATTTATGACCAGTGGAAGTTGCAGGTGGGAGGAATTACCACCAATGCCTAGCCCACAGCTGGACTGCCTAGGCTTGTCATATAAAGGTGAATTTCATGTTCTAAGTGACCTAGTAGGTTTGGGAGAGCAGAATACATCTGAAGTTTTCAGTCCTTCAAAAAAGACATGGTGCACAGTTGAAGATATCTGGCCTTTCTCAAGGGCAATGCATTTTGCAGTTCAGGTGATGGGAGATGATCAAGTATATACTGTTGTAGATCGGGGTGAGAGTTTGGTTAAAACAAGGGATACAGAAAAAGGAGAGTGGTATAATGTTGGTTCAGTTCCTTCAGTGATTCTTCCTTACCATTCACGAGCATTGGAGGCATTTGGTTATGGTGTTTGCACACTGAGACGTGAATTATACGTTCTTGGAGGTAAGGTTCTAAAGTGGGAAGAATATGGAGCTGGGAGATTTGATATTGTAAGTTTGGATGTGGTGAGGGTTTGCAATCCTTTAGAAAGGCCTTTAAAGTGGAGGGAAATTAGGCCCATATGTGGGTCAGCAAGTGGCTCTATACTAGGCTGTGCATCCCTGGAAGAAATATGTTTTTCTTGAGTGAGGTAAAATGTTTTTCTCTTGATGTACTGCTTTTAAAGAAGTCTTTAGTCTTGGATTATAATGAGGGTTTAATGACAAATAAGAGGTCAATTGCTCTGAGTCAGCCTTGAACAACTTTTCAAGTCAAGCCTCTATTTACTGTTGTTTCTTCAGGCATTACTCGATATTTCAGAGGATGTCCTAGCATTCTCCAAAGGAGTTCTCTCACTGATCATGCATGCTGTAATAACTAATAAAACTAACTGCAAATGTTTCCTTCTGTCTAACTTTCTTCTCACTTCTTAGCATCCTATTTAGTATTTAGTTTTTCAGTGGTTGCACTGGGTACTACAAACATTTTGCTTATTTCTTCTTATTTGAAATGCTAATCATGTTTTTCTTTTGCGGCAAAGAATGAACACTTCTATTTCACTCCTGGACAACTGCATTGCCTAATCATAGTTACAAACTTCTGAATTATGTTTTCTAGTGATCTGAATCTTCTGAGACTGCAGTATGCTATTAACATGCATGTTTCATTTGATATCTTTTAATAATATTTTGCCTCGAGTTTCTCAATTACTCTTCATTTAGATGGGATTGCACCAGGGAGTTGTCACATTATCCTTCCATGAACAGTTGACAAATATTTTGGTGGATTCAACTTCTTGGCATGATTTCATGTAGCAACAGTCATCACCAAGATGGACTCCAGGGGAAGGAGTTGCCCCTCGTCTGTGAGCTTGTTCATATATTAGACTCACTTATCATTAAAAAAATCCGTCTGTATTAACGGCTCATCAAATTTGCAAAAAGAAACAGCTTTCATGATACTCTTAAAGAATTGTTGTGATGTATTTTGTTAAACTTGAAATGCTCATTGTTTTCTGATTCATGGGTTCCACCCCGGGATATAACCCTTCCCCTCCCCTTTTCCCTGCCTACCCACCAGATATGATAATACTTAGAGATTCATGTTTTATAGGGCAGACTTATATATATTCAAAGTATATTCTTAAGAAAATAGTATAAAAAATAGTTTTATGAAGGGTATTTAAGTTCATTTATAAGATATATTATACTTCTGTAAAACACCCGTTTTTACGGTAGTCATGCCCATAAACGAATATCTAATGGAACTTAAAGAAAGAGCCGAACTTCTTCATAATGATGGGTGCCTAAAGGAATTCAGTCTTGAATTGCCCTGATGCATAACTACACCTGTCGAAACATGTTGCAGGGAGGAGAATCCTTGGTGTTACTTTTTTTTTTTTTTGGTAGAAAATCCTTGGTGTTACTGCTGCGCCTGAGGAATTACCTTGTTGTATGTCTCTCTCTTTCGCAAATTGTCCCAAACCTTGGATTATTGGCTCCAAGAGTTTTAAGATTACAATCATGACTGTATCATTATATGATTAATTCTTTTTATTTGTTCATTTATAATATTGTATGAATTACATATATTATAGTTTTATATTTAATTTTACTTGATATTATAGTTATAGTATTGTCTTATTACTAATAGTGTTACTGGATAACCCCAATGGGGTAGTTTAATGATTAAAAGTTTAAAATTTTAAATTAAAAATTTTAAGTTGAAGCCTTGAATTTGAGAATAAAAAAAAATTATCTTTTTTTTTGTATGATTCATAATCAGATAAAAAAAAAAGAAACAGTGCTACTGGCTTGTTATGGGCCACGGGATGGATCTTAAGTGAATGGGTTAGGCGATTTGGGCTTAGTCCATCAAGAGAAAATGGCTCGCCGCTCCTTTCACGGTTTCACCTTCTTCATATGGAAGTTCTGCCCGCGCCGGCGAAGGGAGATTCGCGATGGGGTGGTGGAGGGCAGGTAAATGGCCGATAACAATACTGGTCATTCACATCGTCGCCATACTGATATTCACTCGAGGCTTTCTGCTGACTCGAACGGAGCTTCCGTACTACAGCCAATGCTCCGATCTTTCTAAATCTCCATGTGTCTATTCTGATCCAAGCTCCGACAACGAAACTTGCTGGACCAGGCCCGCCGTCGACCGTCTTATTATTATCGTTCTTGATGCCCTGCGGTAATACACGTTTCATTCTTCCAAGTTTAACTTGAATTCGAGTTGACTTCAGTCCAGTTTTTGATAATTAAAGCCATATTTGCTTTCCAGATTTGATTTTGTTGCTCCGAGTGCATTCTTTCCTGGTTTGTGTCATTTCCCTTCTTCTTATTGTAAAGCATTGAGTACTGGATTACATTCCTTGATGATGATTATTATTTTTTTTTTCCTCTCAGAATCAAAACCATGGATGGATAAGTTACCAGTGCTGCAAAAGTTGGCATCTTCCCATCCATCATCCACTAGGATTTTCAAAGCTATTGCTGATCCACCCACCACCAGTTTACAACGTTTAAAGGTATCAATTTTTTTTCCCCTCTACGTTTCTTGTGTTACAAAATTGGAATGCTTCAAAATTATGCATGTTTGTACTCTTTTAACTATTTATTATTCCTCCGTTGATGTTTTCAGGGCTTGACAACTGGTGCCCTGCCAACTTTTATTGATGTTGGCAATAGCTTTGGTGCTCCGGCGATTGTTGAAGACAATTTCATTAATCAGGTTTGCTTCTTATACCTCTAGGTCTTTTTCCTTATGGTAATGCTGTTTCTCTAAGGAAATTTAAAGTCTCATATGTGGACTTATTTTCTTGCAGATGGTTCAAAATGGGAAACGAGTGGTAATGATGGGAGATGATACATGGGTGCAGTTGTTTCCTAACCACTTTAATAGATCTTATCCCTACCCATCTTTTAATGTCAAAGATCTTGATACGGTATGCTGTGCTGATATCTTCCATGTGTTTTAAGATATAACTAACTTCTGCAGAAAGTTTGGTTAACAGATACATCGTTAGCTTGTTAATCTGATGACTACAATATAATGTCATTCTTCTTTTCAGGTGGATAATGGATGCATAGAACACCTACTTCCCTCACTATATGAAGAAAATTGGGATGTTCTTATTGCACATTTTCTTGGTGTGGTATGATTAAGATGTTTTATCTGGATTAGAGAAAAAAGCTTGTATATGTTGGTTTTTAAATTATGGAGTAGATTTCTCTTAAAGCATAAAAATTAACATAAACATGTAAGCAGTTGGTTCTGTTACTCAATAGTGAAATTCTTTCCATGGATCTTCTGATAAAGAGCTATTTTTCTCTATATTATTTCCTTCCCACTTGAAGTTTGTTTTATTTCTATCGAAATCTACTTAGATTTATTACTAAATGGTATGCTGACTTGTTCACTGCAAAAATAGTGAAGCATCACATACTCTGCCCCCCCATTTCTCTACTTTTTGTATCAACAATTTGTAGATGCTAATTTTTGGAAAATTAAATGAAGTTTGTCATTTTCATTTTCGATGCTAGCAATTATGTTAGGAAATGTCTCTCATGGACTTCTGTATGGTAGGATCATGCTGGGCACATTTTTGGAGTTGATTCCTTCCCAATGATAGAAAAGTTGGAGCAATACAATGCAGTTTTGGAGGTAAATTTTTTGAACTAATTAAAAAATGCTACAAGTTTTTCAGCGTTTTTTATTCTGCTTCCTTTAGTAGACTCTATCCTTTATTTATTTTTGTTTTTAAGATCGACTTTTTGTAGTGTCTCTAAAAATGGCCCTCCGAAAAATTAGAACTTTCTGGGCAAATCGTGTGTGAAAATTTCAGTAAAGGAACTTGGGTTGGGTTTGCCATCATTTATAATTCCTGTTATGCCTCTTTTACTTTGTCTTGACATGGAGCATGTTTTATGGGCTAGAAAGTACTGGGTAGATTTAAATTGTTTTGGTTACTATTTCTTCAAAGTTATGCCTGCCAACTTGTTTGTCTCAGGAAATGATTGAAGTTCTGCGCAGCCAATCTGGACCTGGTGGCTTACATGAGAACACTTTTCTTGTAGTGATGGGTGATCATGGGCAAACATTAAATGGTGATCATGGTGGAGGAAGTGCAGAAGAGGTGCATAACAATACTGGTCTATAAGGCAACTTAATTACTTTTCTGATTTTCAGTTATTTTAACTTGAACCTCATCATGCAGGTTGAAACATCGATATTTGCAATGAGTTTTAAGGATTCCCCTCCACTTCCATCTGAATTTGATTCTTCAGTATGTGATACAGATTTGGTAATACCTCTCACCAGGAGATTTAGATTTGGTAGTACCTCTCTCTTTCATTAAGTGCATACATGCTGCTGGCTCAAGGATATTGGAGCGATCCTCTCCTTTTCTTAGGCTGCTTTTATTTCCTTTCTTACTAACAACTGAGCTCAAAGTAAACCTTAACTCCAAACAACTTGTGGTTGGCTATGTCAATTCCTTTTTAATTCCATCCTATTAATTTCTGCAAGTTTCAAAAAGCTATATTTTCTCTTTATAATGAAGTGGAAGAAAGAAATGATGGACTACCTTGCTCGTAATTTGACATAAAAGCTCCACATAGAACATCAGTTACACATTGCGAGAAAACTAAGTGAGAAATTAATTAGTTCTTATAGTGACCTAGATTTCTTTATGGATGGGGGTGGGGTAAATAAGTTAGGCTTAAGTTGCCTTCCTTTTTTTTTTTTTTTATTCCTTAAATGTTTTGCCTTATAATTTCAGGATGGGAAGAAGATATGCACCAGCTCCATCCAACAGGTTAGAATGGTCTTTATGCTGTTCAGATCTGTTATCACTTGATTCTAACCCTCATTTTTCTGAGGAAACATTCTTCTACCTTGCAGCTTGATTTTGCAGTAACAGTCTCTGCACTGCTGGGTATCCCCTTTCCTTTTGGAAGGTGCCGTGTAAGCATCCTGTTAACTTTTCTTTGATGTTTGATGGTTTATTTATATTTATGAAGATGATGATTGGTATGATAATTAATGAGTTCACCATCACAGTTTTCTTACTTTTCATCATTTTGTAAATGTAAGGTAGGTTAATTGTGTTTGCTTTTACCCTTTTTGTTGGTTTCCATCTCAGCATTTGGTAGTAGCATTTTCTAATTTTCCATATGGCTAATTAGCTAACTACCATTTTTCACACCACAAACTTCTCAAATGGTTGTTACCGTTCTACTTCTGAAAATTGGTAGTGTGAGACATATTTCATGAAGCATATGCCTTGATTGTGATTAATATATCATTTGTGTTTATTGTGCCTTTTTCACTTGAGTCAGTGTTTTGTTTGCATAGTATTCCAATAATTTTCTCAATCAGCAGTGACACCCATGCTGTTATTTATTTCCTTTTTATTCCTTTTCCCACTCATTTTCAGCATTGGATCTGTTAATCCTGAGCTTTACGCTTTGGGTGCGGGTACAAGTAACATGGAAGGTAGTAATCAAGGAAATTGTCATGATCAATTGAAACTGGAAGAATGGATTAAGCATTATGTAAATGTGCTCTGCATAAATTCTTGGCAGGTACTCTTTTCATTGGTCTTTGTCCTTTTGGTTAAAACTAAATATTCCAGAGTCAAATTTGGGGTAGAATATGTGGAGTATTTTCTTATAAAAAATTATCAGTGTATTTTATCCTGCATACATAGCTTGATCAGAAAAGAGGACCTTAATGTGAAATGGGAACCTGGGTAAAATGTAAGGATTATCATGATATAGATGTCCTCAAAGATTTTAAGTTTCTTGTGGGGCTTCTATTGGGTTGGTAGGTTTCAAGTTCATTATTTGAGGCACCCCTCTATTTGCTAACCATAAGTTTTCACTGACCCAGTGACCCTTATTCTGTAGGTGAAAAGATATGTTGATATCTATTCGGCTTCATCAATCATTGGATTTTCCTCTGAAGACGTATCCCACATAACAGATTTATATGCAAAAGCAGAAGAAAATTGGTTATCTTCTACCAGGGATTTATTGCTGTACAAAAATGAAAGCTATCAGAAGTCAATTCCAGCTCTTAAGAGGCAAATCTTTTACTATTTTGACTTTTTGTCTGGTGTTGCTGAGCTAGCTAGATCCAACTGGACTGAATTTAATTTAAAGATGATGGGAATTGGTTTTGGGCTTATGTTAGTGTCATTATACATATATTTTCTTGCCATTAAGAGAGTAAACAAGTCATATGGTGTTTCTCTTCCTTCCTGTGGAGATTCTGGAATATCCTTTGGCTTGATATTTGCTTCCTTTATAGTGGTGATACGTGCATCGAGCTTCCTTTCAAATAGTTATATTTGTAAGTTCCTTATCCAAAACTTTCACAATCACAAGTAAGCATTTTCTATTGTTGTTGCTGATGTTGCCACTTTTTTCTATCTTTTTCCTCCTAATCATTAAAAAAAAAAATGAGACCAGTGGAAGAGGGGAAGGTGGCAAATTTTCTTTTGGCAACAACTGCAATTGTTAAGTTGCGTTATTCATTCATGAAGAAGAAGATGGTATTTGAAGTAAGTGTTAGTGTCCTTGAAGGTTGATTATCCTTTTTTTATCTATTTTGTGCCTATATTTTGATAATTTACTTAGGAAACTGATATAAACAACTATTTCTTGTTATGCTAATCTGTCTTGGATCTATGTCCAGGCCATCGTCTTTATTCTGTTGATGTTCATTCTCAGAATTACCATTGATATTGGGCTATCTAAGCAAGCTGCCACTTCCCAATTTATGAATGCATCGCCTTCATGGTTGCTTGGGATTGCCATAAGCCAGCCGATTTGGACATCTATGATTGAAATTGTGCCAATACTTGCTTTAATAATTTTGGCATACTTGTTGTGCAATACTACTTCTAGCAGCTCTTGCAGGGGAGTTCCAAAGTATGTTGTCCTGGGAACAATTTTAAGCTATTTGCTCATAGCTTTGCATTGGGCCACAGAAAATGATGTATTGAATGTGGCTCTTTTCCTTAAAGGAATTGAAAGAAACTACATACCTCAGACAGTTTATGCTATTGGTTTTGGTCTGATTTTGGTACTGGCGCTTGATTCGTTGTTCTGCACAAAGAAGACTTATGATTGCAAAGTTAACTTGTTTGTTAAAATGGTAGCACTATTGTCTGCCTGCAGTTCAACAGTCATTATTCTCTCCGGGAAACAGGGTTCCATGTTTGCATTAACATCTGTACTCTTAGGTATTTTTTTTTTTTTTCATTAGGCTGCAATTTTGCCTTTTTAATATAGTCCTTGATCCATTCCAATTTTGTTTTGCTTTCCTTGTGAATCTGCAAAGTCTGTCACTGGCTAAAAGTTCTGGAACATTTACTTTCATAAGCACTTTAATTGTGCGTGCTTTTATGGATGTATTTTTAATTAAAGCATCTATGTTTCCAGGTTATTGCATAACAAGACTGGAGGGTATTGATCAAGATAGCATCCACGGAGCTGATGGAATCTCAACTTTAAATCCTGTTCCTGTAGTGCAGTGGAGCCTCTTAGCTGTCTGTTTGTTTTTTGCTACTGGCCACTGGTATGATGCATGTATTACACTGCAATATGCATGTATGCTCTAACTCAGTGGCAGACTTAGTGTTCACTCCCAGATCTTTATATTTTGTGCATCAATAAGCTAGTTCCATTCTTATGCTGAAGAGATCCTTCAATAATTATTCCCCATATAATTAGTTTATTGTTAAAAGCTCTTGAATCTCCCATAACCTGAGGCAATTCATTCTTAGGTGTGCTTTTGATGGCCTGCGATATGGTGCTGCATTTATCGGGTGAGTCTTCAATTCACTGGCATCTGAATTTCTTTTTTTCATCCATCAAGCTAATTCACCCAAGCTTTTCGTAGGCATTAATTTCTTAGGTGAATGTGACATGACTCTCCCTATTGATACTGCAACAAGTTTACCAAAATTATTGCTGTTTTCTGGTGGATGCTTGGCTTTGACCCTTTGTTCATTTTCAGATTTGATGAATTTGTCCTTGTACGCCAAGCAATCCTTCTTACAATAGAGACATTTGGATTTTCTCACATCCTTTCAGTATTTGGACTCCCTATTGTTATTGCACCTCAATATTTGTTCAGCCAGACTGACAACAGAAGTATACTTTCTGTAAGGTTAATTCAAGTAAGTTTTCCCCTGGATATCTATGATGTCGATTTCTGTTAATGATGCTTTTAACCATGACTAGTAACAAGCACAAGTTGCAAGCTGTTGTTGTTTCCCTAATCAGCAGGAAGCTTTAATGGGCTTCATCTATGTTTTAGGTATTTTTGATGTATGGACTTATTATGGCAACTACAGTCACAGCCACTATACTGTGTGTCACTATCCAACGACGGCATCTAATGGTAGAAGCATCTTTTGCCATAAAATCTTTCATCTCTTTGTGCATGTATATAATTGACGTACTAAATGTCATGTCATCTTCTTTCCTGGCAGGTGTGGGGATTATTTGCTCCTAAGTTTGTTTTTGATGTGGTTGGCCTTATTCTCACTGACGTCCTGATTTGTTTAGCTTCAGTTTACTACACTGGAGGACTGGTGGGCAATACGCCACATGATAAAACTAGATAATTCAACTTTTGCTCTTACTTATTTACTTTATTTGGAAAACCAGATTCGAATGTATAATCTATCCCTATTAGTTCTCCCTCTTTTAGCTTTCTCTTTTCCTAATTGACAAATGGAATATATGTAGCATGAAATTACACAAACTAGCTTGATTCCACTGTCAGTTAACAGAGCACTAAAGTAAGTGCCCCCGAGCGACTAAAAGCCCGAACAGGTGTTTTATGCTAATCTTTGAGTTTGCCGTGAGCACTGCAGGTGTTCCATGCTAATGCAAAGCAACAAGCATGTTGCATGGGAAAATTTTCTGATAATGAAGGAATAAATTGGGTGCAATTGGTTGTGGACAAACTTCTGCAATCTTCTTCGTTGATAGAATGGCTTAGTCCTCTAGCCTACTTGCCTGTAGTTGAATGTTTATAGATTCATCATGGGATGGATAAACTCAAAGTTCGCCTATAAATATAGCTCAGAACTGTTCTATGCATGATTTTGGTTGTAAAGGAATCCTGGTAATGGCTGATGATTGTGAGATCCGCCACTAGGCCAATGAACGGGTACAAGAGAGACCCGAGGTCTTGTCATTTTGTTATTATCATATCTCTCGGTTTAAGTTGTTACTAAGCGTCAACTGCGAATCTATCGCCAGCCTGAGCAGCTAGAGCCTCATGCACACAAAAACGGTTGTAATCTCGTGGACTTTGCTTGTAGAGGATAAACCTGCCTTATGGTTTCTATGCATGCATGTAACTTTTGTGAATGTTATGTTTTCTGTTAGGAGTCCAGATTGTTTTGAGACTAGGAACTCTCTCTACGAACTCTGATATCTACGTATGTCCTCTAGTTTTCTGATTCTCATTATCCTATCTTGCGGGAGCAGAGTGAAGGTGCTAGAGACTTGGTTTACCAACCCATAAGAAGCTCAAGACAAGGTGGATTTAGAGCCACCTATTTTATCGATGGTAAGAATCAGTTAATGCAATGCACGGTATGACAATCTCAATTAACAAAGACGTGTTATGAAAATTGAGGTTCTTCACATTTCTGAACTTGAATTTTTCAGCAATGATGCTTCTGGATAACATTGGCTTTGTGGCTAACATGGCAAGCTTGGTTTTGTACTTCTTCAATGTTATGCACTTTGATCTCTCTAGTTCCGCAACCACCACCACAAACTACTTGGGCACTGCATTCTTGCTCACAGTTGTTGGTGGATTTATCTCTGATATATGTATGACTCGGCCCAACACTGCTCTCCTCTTTGGAGTCATTGAATTACTAGTAAAGTCTGCTTCCTAAATGACAATACTCATGGTCTTAATTAGTGTTTCCTAGATTATTCCTACTTTGTTACTTGTGGCTTGTGATGACTTTCAGGGTTATATTATATGTAGCTAATAATCCCAATCCCATTATCATAAACTCCAACCAGAACAGTGTGGTAAATCAAGTTGTGTGCATGGGACCAAAGCTTTACCTTTTTATGCTTCAATATTGCTGGCAGCACTCGGAGGAGGTGGAATCAAAGGTTCAGCTCCTGCACTGGGTGTCGATCAGTTTGACTATAAGGACCCAAATGAGCGAAAGCACACTGCCAGCTTCTTCAATTGGTTCTTGTTTATCATAACCCGTGGGGGTAGCATTGGGGTCACATTTGTCGTGTATGTTAGCACCAAAGTGCGATGGTGCATAGGATTCATTATCTCCTTGTCGTGTGCATTTATTGGTCTCGTCTTTCTTGCATTAGGAAAGCGATTTTATCATGTCCGCATTCCTGGAAACAGTCCCTTATTGAGGATTTTAGAGGTATCTCTTCTTCTCTCTGCTTTCATTAATTCCAGAAATTGATCCTTAGTTGGGTCCACTAAGATGATTCTTGTTGCAGGTTTTTGTAGTGGCACTAAAGAACGGGAGGGTAGAACTACCCCAGAACTCGTATGAACTAACTCGTATGAACTATATGAAATATGTTTTCTGGGCTAATTGGTACAAGTACAAGAAAGATGTTCCCGTTGATGAAGAAAAGCTCCTGAATTCAGGCCCTCGACGCCCCAACGAACCATTCTCTACAAGTGTGAATGGTCTATCCAGGCAGCAGGAGGAGCTCCTGAAATCAAGCCCTGGATTCCCGCACCGAATCAATCTCTACAATTGTGAGTAGTCTATCCAGGCAGCAGGAGGACCCCATTTCTCAAGCAAAAGCAGAAGATGGTGTGAAAGAGGGAAAGAAGAAGAAAAAAAGTACACAGGTACAGCTGTCTGTTAGCTGGGGACCTTTATAAAAATTTTTGCGAATGTAAAAAGTGATGAACTTGGACAGAATGGAAAAGTGCAAAAAGGAGAGAAAAAATGGAGGGCAGTGATGTCGGTTGGACTGGTGCCTCAAAGTTTTGTGGTGCTCTGTAAACCTTTTATGTGAGCCACTCAATAGGACCCCACAACTTCATCATGTGGAATATTGTTTATGATTCAAATGGTTTTTTTCATGAATAATTCTCTGAAAATAGAAAACTGAAAAAAGATAAAAAAATCGTTCTCATATCTTCTCCTTTGTCGTCCTTTCTGTGCCAAAACAACACTCTTCTCCACTTCTATTAATAAGCCTTTCTTTTCTTTTCTTTTTGGACTTTCTTTTCCCTGTTATGACCAAATCATATGGAAGCAAAGAGGGCAATGGACAGCCACTGTGCAGCAGTGAAGAGTTTGAGGGTATTTGTGATAATGCTGGTTTTAGTTTGGAGCAAAGGGGCGGGGGGTTTTGTGGGTTGGAATGGGACAGCCCCTTATGATGATAATGAGGAGAGTTTTCTCGAATCAGAAATTGATCATGTGGAGATGTTTCGTGGTGGCTCCGGTGGTACAAGACCGTTGCTGGTTGGTCTTACTCTCATTTATGAAGCTGCCGCTGCCGGGGCAGGTACGACCATCTCCTGCTTCCAATTTCCTTTCAAACATATCTTTTTTGTCTTTTTTTATTTCCACAGTGATAAAAGAATTCAACTTTTAGTGTGGGTTCTTGTGTTGTGTTCACTTAATTTAATATCGTTCATTCTTGGCTTCACAAAGTAGCCGAAGTTATTTTTACGCCACTGCCTTTTCCAGAGAGAGGAAAGATTCTAAGGACTCACTTTCCCTTCAATAGCACTGAATTGAGTCATGAAGTGCAAACTGTTGTTGGAATTACCTAATTGATACTGATTTGGGAAGGATACAAAAAAGTCATGACCCTCCCTTTTTTCTTTTTTTTTTTTCTTTATGTGCAGTCTGTCTGGATGGGTCATTACCGGGATACCACATACACAGAGGATATGGTTCAGGTGCAAATAGTTGGCTCATTCACTTGGAGGCATGTTTGACAACTCCAAATTGATAATCCAAGTTAAATTTCAATATATGGAGTTCCATTTCAATGGCCTTGAAACATGGTTTTGATCTTATGTTCTTAAGTTGAAGACTTGAATCTTTCTTTCTTTGCTAAAAATCAAATTGCATTAAGATGAGTTACTTTCTTATGCACGTTTCTGCTCAGAGACTGTGTCCTTCCTCCCTGTCACATGCACACACACACACACACAACAATTTGATACTTAATTGATCATCCAAGCTTTTTTGGCTCTTTAAGCCAGTGCTTAACTACTCTTATTCAAAAAGGGAATTTATGTTCCTTTCTCTGTCAGATGCACACATGCGCACACGCACACACGGACATAGAATTTACTATTATTGCACTCAGATTTTTCATCAATGTGGTTGACTTTGTGAAAGAATCTGTCACAGGGAGGAGGATGGTGCAATACACTCAGGAACTGCGTATACCATAAAAAAACTCGTCATGGTTCATCAACATACATGGAGAAAGAGATACAATTTACAGGGATATTGAGTGACAAACCTCAGGAAAATCCTGGTATTATTCCCCCAAAACATGCTGAGTTTTTATAGACATGCTAGGACTCGTTGTCTCGTTGATGTTAGAGCTGTTAACTTATATATTCTTCTTTTGTAACCATAATGCTGGCAGATTTTTTCAATTGGAACAGAGTCAAGCTTCGTTACTGTGACGGTGCATCTTTTAGCGGGGACAGTCAAGATGAAGTCAGTAGAGAAATATAATCATTCACTCGATTTAATTATACCAATTTTGAAAACCTGACCATGATATTTCATGGTTCATACTTCATCTAGCTATTAAATTCCAAATTATTCTTTCAGTTTCTCTTTCTAACAATTTCTTGGGAGTAATAAATGAGGATTAGTTTAAGCAATGGAGTTTCAGTTTTGCTCTTGAATCAATAAATGATGATTGGTTAAATCAACTTTGCAAGGCCTCCTGCTGAAAAATAATGATTTCATGCTGCTCTTCAGAAAGCTCAACTATACTTTCGAGGGGAACGTATTTGGTCTGCAGCAATGGAACATCTGATGTCGAATGGCATGCGCTACGCTAACCAGGTTTCTATATCAAATTAAACAAAGTTCTATGTCTACTTTTCCCTCAAAATATTTTCCACTGGCTCTCGTAATGCCATCATTAAATTTTCAATACCTCCAGGCTCTTCTTTCTGGATGTTCTGCTGGGGGTCTTGCATCTATATTGCACTGTGATAAATTCAAGGAATTATTTCCTAGTAATACAAGAGTCAAGTGCTTGAGTGATGCTGGATTATTTCTTGATGTGTAAATGCTTGCCAACCTCCTATCAACTCAATGTTTCTGGTGATAGGTGTATTCTTGTTGCTAAAGTACCTGTTTTTCCCTTTGTCTGGATTTGCAGAATGGACATATCTGGAGGGCGCACATTGAGAAGGATGTTTGGAGGTTTGGTTAGGTTGCAGGTACTTCAAATCCATTTAAATGGCATCAGCAGTTTGATTTTATTGTATTCAACTTAGACATTGCTTGAATAATAATATTTGAAATGAAGTTCTCTTTGTTCTTCTTTAAGCAAATTTATTGGAAGGTTAAATATATAGACTGGTGTTGCAGGGAGTGCAGAAGAACCTGCCACAGAGTTGTACCAACCACCTCAATCCAATTCTGGTAGTTCACATAACATGTGCAGTAAACTCATGACTAATTGAAACATATTTCCCCTCTCCTGATTTTGATGTAATTTCCTTTAATTTCAGTGTTTCTTCCCCCAGCGCTTGATAAATAGCGTTAGGACTCCTCTTTTTCTTCTCAATGCCGCCTATGATTCATGGCAGGTAACTTCAATGTCTTCCCAACTTTCAAAAATGAATATCCACAAATCTCCCTAATTCCATAAATGAAGTACTGAGTCTCTTAAGAGTTAAATTTTTTATTTCTTGTCCTTGAACCAGATCCTGGCCAGTTTAGCTCCACCATCAGCTGATTTTCATGGCAGGTGGCAGGGATGCAGAAAAAACTTTGCACTTTGTGATGCATCACAGATTCGTTTTCTGCAGGGTTACTTTCTATACCTGTTGTTTCAGATTATGGTTATTATCTTTAATAAAAACCAATACCCTTTTGTTTCCTTTCCTTGCCTGAAACAGGTTTCCGGAATCAAATGGTGACTATTGTCAGAGGCTTCTTAAGGTTCAACAAAAATGGGATGTTTCTGAACTCATGTTTTGCTCATTGCCAGACAGAGAGACAGGATACTTGGTTCGGCTATGGATCTCCCCATATCAGAAACAGGGTATGCCTGTTACAAAGCTTGGTTTTTGGATCGTTTTATCTGTTTATAGATTGATTAACTAGCTAAATGCATATCACTATACTGAAGAAATGCTTGAATTCCAGGGGATCGCAAAGTCTGTAGGGGATTGGTATTTCGACAGAGTTGTTGTTAAGGTTATTGACTGTCCATACCCTTGTGACAACACCTGCCACAATCTTGTGTTTAAGTGAGAAAAATCACCATTCTTTGTTGTTTTAGACAATCTTCACATATTATATCAGCATCCAAATAAAAATAAATAACTAAAACAAGAAATTCTATTGTATCATGGAGATATGTCTTAGAATTGGCATTAATCAGTTCTGCATGTACAAGCCCAACTGCACAAGGTAAAATACAACAAACACCCTTATTTGTAGAAGTAGAAACGTAGAATCATTAGTTATCAACACTGTTGTCCACTTTAGGCCTGGTGTTCATAAGAACCTGC